TTAACCCGCAAATGACTTTTGGTCAAATTAAAAAAAATGTTCTCTTTGTCCAAATGGTATGAAACTTTCTACAGCTCTTAACACTTCATAGATCTACAAAAGAAAAAAAAAATTGGAATGATATCTGTTATTATGTTGCCGTGAAAAAAATAGTCACACTTGTTGTCTTCGGGGTCCCTGGAGACCCCGCATAGTAAATATATAATATTCATCATCAAAATCAGAAACAACGCAGATCACATGGACAGAAATGAAATGGCACACTTCCAACAATGTAAAAAACATCCACAATGCAAAATTATCATGCTCGCCACACACACACACACACACACACACACAACCACACATACACATACACACAGAAATACATTTGTAAGGCTATAAAAAAAGTCTTATAATTTGTCAAATAAAATGCAGAACCACCACAAATATAAATTGGTGACACTGACACAACGAAAATACACACACACACACACACAGAATGTGTGTCTGCAGAAGTCATGCAACGTACTACGCATACTGCCTGCAGTGCACTGACTCGTGAACACCTCCAGTGCACCACCAATTGTTGTTCTTATTTGTTCAAAAAACAAAAATTTCCCAATCAGTTTTTTTAACAAAATAATTTTTATATTACAACCATTTTATTTTTTTACTGCTTTATTTGATCATTTGTTATTGCTGTTCAGTTCATTGCACTTTTGTTTTTTTTTCTCAATATGTAATATAACTGTTCATTTCTGTTATTTTTTGTTCTGTTACAGTTTGTAACTGAAACGTTGATTAAAAATGATAGAATTATATTAAAAACAGATAATTGAAATAAATGATAAAATCTAAAGACTCCAAGATTTTTTGTAACATCTTGTTCAGGTTTGATTCTAATCATAAAGTAACATTATTGAAGAACTTTTTTCAATACAAAATATGCTAAACTTAATACAAAATATGCTAAACTTTGACCAAAAGTATATAATTCTTTTTTATAATTTTGATTTTAAAATATTTATATATGAATCCAACTCAATCCAACTGAATCCAACTTGTGAAAAGATGTATTTTGGTTAATCAAACAGCAAATAGCATATAATGGAGCTCTATAGCAATATAGTGGTTAAAGTGAATTTTTTTATTTTAAAACTTCATTTTCCAAAAAAAGGGCAAAAATCTTACATTAAATCATGTACAATTATCCATGTTATCCCCATAAATGAAAGTTAGAAATCTGGGTCCTTTATAAAGTGAATTTTACATAAAATGCTGTTTTTTGTAAAAAAAAACTATTTATTTAAATATTTATTTATCTATTTTTAGAAATTTAAAAAATATCAAAAATCCTCCAAAAACTGCACAAATGTTGAGTAAAAACATTAATAAACAGAGTAAAATTACATTTGTAAAAAAAAATTTATTATACTGTTACAAAATGCAATGTTATTGTCTGGGGTCCCTGGAGACCCCAAAGATAACAAGTGTAGACCCTAAATGAAGATAATCAGAGGGTTAAACTGAATTTCTTGCGCAAACCTACGTGTACAAGCAAAACAAATAATCATAACTGTGCTGAAGGAAAAAAAATAGCAAGATTGTGAGTGCTTTTATACAGTAGGGACAGTCGTGTGGTTCATTCCCGAATTTGAATAAATCAGTTGAATGGATGATTCAATGACTCACCCAATCACTTGCCGTTACCTACTGGTAATTCTGTCTGATTTTTTCTGAATCTACTATCTCATAAGATTAATTTGTTTGTGAATCAGACTTACCATTTTTGCAAAAAAAAAAAAAAAAAAAAAAAATGTGTTCATGAATTGAATTGCGCTATTTGTGCTGTATGTTTTTTATTCGCCAAAAAGAACCAGTTCATTATAGTCTTTTTTTCGTGATTCACACCACACTTGTTACACTTTGTTAGTTTGTGCAGCACGTGACGAGAACTCAGCATTGGATTGTGTGGTACACATTCTTTTTATCTCATCACATTCAGTTCAGAAACCAAACTCGGGTTAAATACGACTTGCCAAAGGATCATATATTTAACTGTGGGGCTGCTTGTGTTTTCTCGCTGAAAAGTGGTGCAGGAAACTCTGGTATAGAATAAAGAGATCTATTATGGGATTTTAAAAATCGACATCGAGATAGTTAAACAAGGATCACAATTAGTTGGCAAGTCAATATCTTTACGCAAATGTTTGTAGAATATGTCAATGCATCTTTGTTTCCTCGGCCATGACAGCTGTGTTAACTTGAGAATATTTAGTTTAATGCAATTCATACATGAACGTTTGTTTTTCGGTTAAAGCCTCTGTAATGGGATATTATTTCCACTTTTATAGAGCCATTGTATATTGTAGATTTCTATTTATGTTTCTTCCCGTATTATCATGTTATCCTGGAAAACCTAGAATCCCCCACTCTCGCATCACACTTGAGATTGAAAGCCGGGTGCTTCCCCACAGATTAGGCAGGGATCGTTTACGGTGCTTATTGTCATCCTTGCAGAGAAACGCGAGATAATACAGTCTCAGTTTCAACCTAAAATCCCCCATTCATCTGCATGAGTGCGCAGCGACGAGCCGACAAACCCTGGGCCGAGATGCGCTGATGGCAGATTTAGATGTGATGACACTCTTTTCTCCCTTAAATCAAACTGTTATCGCCCACTATTTATGTCACTTGTTATCTCACACACTGTTTATGACAACTTTGACATTTCGCTCAGTTTTTAAAGCTCTTGTCAAATTTGCCAAACTGCAGGGCAGAGTGAGATAGAGTGAGTTAAGGAAAGGTTGTCAGAGAGGGAGAGAGTGAGAGGGGGGCTTTAAAGACAAAGCGCATGAGGGAAAAACAGGGGAAAAGAAGAAAAAGAGACAGGGAGATAGTGAAGCAGCCTGGGGGGGTTGTTGTAATGTATCTGCAGTGTAGCATGTCAGTGCGGCTTTACTTTACTGCATCCTCATCTCGACGTCAATAATTAATCACAGGTGAGGCGTGATGAGAAACATGCCCACGGATGCCAAAGGAGCTTCAACCGGTGCCAGCAGACAGCAGGAAAGCCTCAAACACAGTGACAGCCATCCCTCCCCGCATCGAGTCTCACCTTACGGGCACGTTCCTGTGATGCAACGCCGGCACGCTCTGAATTACATCACCTGCAAAAAAGAGCAGGAGCGCCATTCGGCCTCCAAATCTACGGCGACGCGGCACGCCGGCTGTTTTATTGCTAATTAGGCCATATCTTTTTATTTCTGTACACCAAAAAATCAGCCACATGTATCATGGATATAAATGCGTTATAGTTGTGATCGATTGGCTGGAGCGCGGCCCTGTGGCATGAATATTCATGGGGTGATGTATAGAGAGGGAGGGAGCGGCATTGGAGGCTCGTGGTGTGTGATCCGTGGACTTTACAGTCACCGCCGGGTAGCCTGCGGCTAGCAGCCACCATAAACAATAACGCAAGGCCCATTTATAACACTAAAAATCATGTGTCGACGCAGCCACAAAGAGCACAAGTGACATTTTAATGGGCCTTTTTACTTTTTGTTTTTCAATAATGAATGCATGGCTTGCTGTGGTGCGCTCCACAATATGCGCCTCACTATTGTTTTGAGGCGTAATGCAGATTTTTGCTGTACTTGGCATTTATAGGGAATAATTTAATACACATCACAATCTTCGCGCGCGCTTCCCTGGGACCGCTTTCCAAGACTGGGGGAATGGAGAATTCTTTTTTTTTTTTTTTTGCTGAACTGATGTGAAATGGTGTACTGTATGTGTGGTTGTGTGATGTCAGAGTCATGTTTTCTTTTTTTCTTTGTGAGTACTGATCAGTGTGTGTGTGTGTGTGTGTGTGTGTGTGTGTGTGTGTTACCCAAAGGAGGTTCAATGCAGCTGTTAGTTTGCTTTGCTGTGTAAGCAGGGTTGACCCCACTGTTGATCACATGCCAAGCACTTTCCCCTCACACCGTGCCACTCACACACAGACTGATGGGCACTAAACAGCTGAGAGGAGGAGTGTTTATGGACGTGTTCAAATTGTCAAAGAAATATTTATGTCTCTCTTACATTTGAAATCATGTTGAATCAAATAATATTTTTTTATTTTTATTTCTTACCTCCTTCCTTGTTTCTTTCTTTTTGTTCTTTCCTTCCTTCCCTCCCTTCTTTCTTAGGTTTTACTTCCTTTCGTTGGGCTGGTCAAACAGAACGCGCTTTTTGCTGTTAAAAATGTGAGGTTTAAAAATGAAAACCACGGTCTAGAAAGGCGTTTTTTAAAAGTTGAACTTATTTTAACTTAAGCGTCGGGGTTTTAGAATGCTGTGTAATGCGCGAGACACGAGTGCAACAGTTAAGACGTCCGTCTAGCGCGTGTTTGCATTTAAAAAACAATGGAAAAGTAGCACAGAGGAATGGAAACTCGTTCTGTGTGAACTGCCCTCTACTGCATTTGTTTTTCATCCTTCCTGCTTTCCATACTTCCTTCCATACTTCATTCCTCCCTTCCTTCTTTCTTTTTTTTCTTCTACATTTTTGTTTTTCCTTCCACATTTTTGTTTTTCCTTCCTTTCTTGCTTCCTTTGTTTTGTCTTCCTTTTTTACTGCCTTTGTTTGTCCTCTTTCCTCCTTTCCACCTTTTCCTTCCTTCCTTCCTTCCTTCCTTCCTTCCTTCCTTCCTTCCTTCCTTTCTTCCTTCCATGTTACCTTCCATCCCAACTACATTTAAATTTCTCTTTCCTTTTTTTCTTTCTTTGTTTTTCCTTCTTACTGTCTTTATTTTTCTTTACTAACTCCTTTCCATACTTTCTTTCCCTTTTCCTTCCTTCCTTTTTTCCTTTCTTTTTCCCGTCCTTCCTTTTTCATTATTTGTCTTTCTTTATTTTTTACCTTCATTATTTTACTTTTCTTCTCTTTTGTAATATTGTGTATTATTAATAATTGATTCTAGTCATTGTATATTGTTATTTAACCTATTCCAAATTTTTTCTCTCCTTCTGTAGAAACGAAACCAGGAAACGGGCTGTGTAAAACAGGAAGCATTGCTCTCTTTGGAAACGTAGTGTACAGTGGGCTGCTGAACGATCACTTCTGGCATTTCGGGGTGCCCCTCGTCACAAGACTGGTAAGTGGATGCCCTCTTTGTGTTTCCCAGATTGGTGGCATGGTTGGCACTGCCTCTCTGCTCCCTTTGCCACCTTAGGATCTCCCACTGGCAGTTGGGATTTGGCATCAGTTGTGTTTTGGCTGGCCAGGACTTTTACCAGAGGTGATTTTTGATCTCCTTTAAAAAAGGAGGTCTTGGCATATAAGGGGACACAGTTGTGCTGGCACGTTCAGTGAAACATAATTACAAGTCATATAATTACTCAATAGTAATATTTAATTATGGCTAGGGTTATTTAGCTTTCTGCTCTGACAGCTACACCTAACCACAGAGAACAGCAGTGGAAAGGGAATGGGGCTGATCTTGCAGGCTCATGTTACTGTATGTTCTCCTTCCTGATTTCCCTGTCTATCTTCTATCTCAATGATGCAAGATCTAAATGAGTAGATAATGCATTGGCATATGATGTGTCTGTTTAAGAACTGAATATTAGTAGGCTACTCAAGTTTTAATTAAACTGTAATCTTAGCGCATGTCAGTGCCTCTGTCTTATAATGAATTGATAAATATTGATGCTCCGTCTTCCTCCGAAATATGTCAAACAATATTAGCATACAGGCAGGGAAGGACAGGGAGGAGGCAGAGCTGGAGCAATTTACTGCTTATACTCGATTAAGATAAAAAAAGGATTTGGAGGATCAGAAGTATAAATCTCTGAGGGTAACTTGTTTTTCACTGCTTTCCCAATTGAGCGTGCAGACGTGTTTCAGATGAAAACTTTAGCAGCAGAATTGGATGTAGTTCAACTGCTTTCTTCAGAGAGAATGTAGCATCATTTGATTATGGTTAGAATATTAATATTGTCCCTTATATTAATATGATTTTTTTTTAATTTATGGCAAATCACAAATATTCTTTACCATTCAAGAACTGGCATGCTGCTTAAATTAACATGAAAAATCTATTGACATTGTGACGTTTTTAAACATCTGTTAGTTTGCATCTTAATTGTTGAATGTCAAAGTGTTTCACATGTTCGAAACATTAGTTTGTCTTTACTAAGGGGTCGGGGTTTTGCTAGTTATCATGGCCCATCTATCCCTTGCTCGTAAATGCTGGTACACTATTCTGTTGACAAATTTTTTTGTCTTCAATGACTGACATTTATAAGTAGCCATGTATAATGATTAAAAGGTTGTTTTGTTTTTTTGCCAGCAACATAAATAAATTATATTTTTGAGTAGATTTTTTTTATTTATTTATTTTTTGGCTGTAAAAAATTAGCTGGAAGGCCTAAAGCTATTACATTTGCCCAACATTTACTTTTTCCAAACTTTCATTTTCCTCTCCACTTTTGGAGATAGGAAATTCTACTAATGGCATTTGGAAATACAATGCTTCGAATAGCCAAAGCACGTTTAGCGTTTAAGTGCGCTCGCTTGCTACCACTCAAATCACCATAAATGAGTTCTACCTCAGTTCCAAACCACATTCCTTTTTGACAAATTAAGTAAATTAGTCAATGCCTCTGTAATCAAGTGCAATGGCACCTTGCCTTTTATCCGCTTGTTTTTTGATTAGGCCATACTTCCATGCATGTCACTTCCAGTGCCGTTTGGTCATTGGTAGGTGCTTTTTATGAAAATGGACTGGCACTGTGACCCGTTCCTCAATCCCCCCACCAAACTCTGCTGCAGACGCTAAACTGCACCTTAACCAGATTAAGTCACTTGAACATGTTTGGAGAATCGAGCCTCCCCACCAGATGGAGAGAAATGGAGGGCGGTTGTTTTTGAATTAGTTCTCCCTCGATTTTCCTTGCCGGGTTAATGAATAAATGAACTGGCGCGGTAATTGGAAGGGAGTGCGATGAGAGAGAAGGAGAGGAGCATGCAGCTCCATTGAGTTTATGGAGGCAGAAATGATGACGTTGGGTAAAGCACTGATGAGGAAGGTATAGCTCAGTGGGGCGAACATGCCTGATAGAGTAAGTGTGTGTTTGTGTGTGTGTGTGTCTGTGTGTATCTTCACAGAAGGGAGGACTCGACTTCATTATAAGGTGCTTTAAGTGCGACACGCTGTGATTGTGTCATCTTCGTTCCAGACAAAGGCAGTGGAGGGCAGGTACAGGGGACAAAGGAAACGTGAACGTCCAATAGCCGTTGCACAGGCGTGCACATACTGCTGAATCCTGTCAGACTGCGCTCAGAGCTGAATTTCAGCTTTTCAGCAGAATGGTTGTAATTGATAGCACTCTGGGGCTGCGCGGGCCTTGGCAGCACGCAAAACGAACGCAAACCTCCAAAGACAGAGACTTTTAATACCTGGCAGGCTCGCACAGCGTGGAAGCTTGACTCTGTGTGGCATGTAGATGTATTGCTGCTCACTTTTGGGTTGTAGTATGGGGGTAAGAAAGAGGGAATCGCTCGTTTCTGCTCCCGTCAAATATTCCAAGGCTTGCACTATTTCCGAGACCTGCTGCGCTTGCGGCCAATATGGCGTCCCAGATGTGTTCACCTGCCGTTGGCAGCGGCCGGCTCCTAATTAAGACAGTCTGGCTTGGCCACCGGCTCACTCTGGGCCTGCTCAGACCAAACCTTGCCCATCTGCCCTGCTTAAAGAAGAAAAATACCACCTTTACACTTCAGGCCAATTGACATCTATACTCAGGTGGGACGTAGAGGGCGTTAGTTGCTGTAGGCAGGGTGAGTTGTGCGTGCTTGTGTGTGGTGGAAGAACAAAGTGAGTGGTTGCGCTAAATGCACGCAATGCATCTGATCTGATTCTTTTTTTTTTTTCTCCATCTATCTGTCCTTTTCTTTCTTTGCACTGCATCAGAGCAAAATGTGATCCGTTAACAAGCTTGTGCCACATTTTTAGACTCTGCGTCACATCTCCGCGCAAGCCCATAAGCTTGGAAAAAGATCAGGCGAGACATGGAGATCAAACCCATGGATCGGGCCAACAGACAACTGTACTGCACAACGCCGGCATTAAATATTGACTAAACGAATCGCGAGTCGGGGGAGTAAGAGAACACGACAAGGAGCATAACCAATTCAGGGCTCTGACTTTTTCCCTCCTTCTTCATCTGAGAGAAAAGGTTTCTTGTCTCTGTAATGGAAAATGGCGTCCCCAGGGCCAGTCGTCCTCCGAGTGCTTAACACGAACATGCAGCACCCTCGGCATGCTGGGGAAAAAACAGTGCAGATAGTGCCAGAGAAGGAATGGAGAGACAGAGAGAGAATGTTTTGGGTTTGAGAGAGAAAGAGAAGCAGTGGGAGAAAACAGAATGCTGATGGAGTGGACAGGAATATTACAGAAAGAACAACAACAACAGAAGGGGAGACTGGGGCTAGTTGTCACACAGCTTACTTTCAGTAACTATGGTTTTGAGTGAGAGGTCCAATTATGCATATGTGTGTTTTCTCTAGCAGTGGATTTTATGATTTTCTTTTCAAGGGAAGTTGTCACATTTCAAATTTATAAAAATGTATTGTATTTTATTAAGTTAATTAATATTTTTATAAATGTATGCGATTTATTTATTCAAATTGCTTTGCCCCACATTGTTAATTTTGATATTTTTGCTGTTTCATTAATTGTTTTTATATATAATTTTCCTGCTAATTATATATATATCTTTTTTAATATATATATATTTTGTTTTATCAATGGCTGTTTAAAGGTAGATTCCACTGTGAAAACAGTACCCATATAATGTGACATGTCCTGCTATTAGGTCAACATGTGTTCAGTAAACTCTATTTTTTTTTTTTACCTGGACAATATGTTTCAAAATGTTTAAAAGTGTTTTTGTAGTCAAGACTTTAAAGTATATCTCTAGGATTATTCTGAATAGGATTATTCTGAGAATAATCCTATTCTGATAAATAAAGCATGACTATAGCTGCAGGCTCCCTATATCATGAAATGCACTGATATGAAATGTGCAGAATAATGTTTAGTTTAAATATAAGTTGCTTATTAAAGGTGCACAATGCAGAGTAAACAATACTTGACCACTCATCATGGGTGGAACACCGCCAAAAGCGCACGCCCTCTCCTCTGACATCTTGTTGCGCACTTAGCCCAACCAACCCAAGAGACTACCTGTGGTAAGATGAGTGATGAGCTATTTAAAAAAAAAAATCCAAATATATCATGCATAAATATAATTTTTTTGTGTATATGAATGAACAGTTAGATGCAGGGGCGTCACTAGGCCCTTTTTAGGGGGGCTTCAGCCCCCCTAAACTTCTGCCTAGCCCCCCTAAAAATGTGAGATTAATGTAGGCTACACAAATTCGTGTTCGCTTCAGTCTTGTTATAATCAGATTCAGCGCGTTCTTCATCTTCAATCCGCAGCGGCGCCGACAGAGAGCACGTCAGAAACAGAGGACAGGGTGTGTGTGTGTGTGTGTGTTCATGTGTGTTCATCTGAGCCTCATTGGTCTGTCACTGCTCGTCAATGTCAGAATATTTGAGATGACCAATCAAATCAAAGTAGGCAGGCTTTATGTTCACAGACGCTGCTGAGCGCGAATTTTAACAGTGCGACTCGACGCGTATGGTCAAGTGCGAGATAAGATGTAAGTAGCTAAACTTAACATTTCATATTTTACTTTTTTTAGGTCATAAATGTTAAACGAATGACAAAAAATAATCAGGCAAACTAATATAGTTTTGTCTAATTTCGCCATTTTGAACTGAAAATAGGCTGTAACGTGACTCATGTAATAATTAGTTTACAAGAAACATTAACAAAGCCGTTTTCATCATGTTAGGCACAAGATTAATAATGAATGTGTACATATTGAGGATATAATACAAATTGTAGCCTTTAGTAAATTAAAAAAGCTCAGCTTTAGGAGGGGAAGAGAAAGGGACGAAGAGACTGAGAAAAAAAGAAAGAGTGATGGAGATGAGAAGAGAGCAGGTATTGACAAATAATCTGCCCACTGACATGGTTTTAAAGCTATTTCTTATCCTTTTTTGGTCTTCAAACGTCTTGAAAT